AATTTTTTTTCCCCCCCTATATCATAGGAGTACTTTTCATCCATTTAATAAAGGCCTAATGATTCCTCCACTATCATCGATCAGAAGAATTCTATAATTAATATCCCTATCTATTGCACCATTACTTTAAAAATGGACCCTCTAGGATGTCTTAAAAGTGTACTCTTATTAATAACTTGATCGTCCAATCCAGGTTCCCATATGATTGCACCTAGAACGGTGACAATAACTAATCATAAACTAAGACTAAAAATTTTAATCTTTTCTTCAATTAGATACAAGGGCTTTCATTTGGACACACAGACAATAGTCAGTATAAAAATTTTTAAAGCATGAAATATAGATAAACATTGTGTGAGAGAATGTGTGTAGTAACAGCAATTTCAATAGAGTAAAAAATTATATCTTTAAAGTGAGTACAGAAAAACAAATTTGGACCAAAAAAAAATTAATATTATTACCCTAACAAAATAAAGTAATAAGAAAAAGTCTTCAGCCAAGCCTAAATAGCACCCACCAAATATTGTTTTTTTAATAGAGTTACGAGACAACTTCCCATATTTTTGAATGGACAATTCGCTCACAAAGCAAGCAAGATATTATATGATTATTTTATCTTAAGGTTTTATATTAGATAGCCATCTAAATCTGAAGAATGTTAATAGTAAGACGCTTACAAACGACACTTAGAAAAGGACTTACAAACTTAAGAAATAAAGACTTAAACAAGACGACACCCTAAAATTGCTTCACTTTGAGAAGAGAGATACAGATGGAGTGGCACTTGCGGAGAGACGAAGAGATTGGAAGCCAAGAAAAAGGGTGGAAAGAGCCCGCAGGATTTCCATAGAAGAAGAAGAAAAAATGGAACAAAGCTCTCAAGCTTTTTCCAAGAAACCCTCAAGTTTTCTCTCCAAAAATCATAATCATCACACTTCTTTAACTTCATATAACATCTACTATATATAGGCATAGGAGGGGAACCAAACAGCCCAAATATTAGGGAATATGGAAGGTTAAAAGACACCTAGAAGAAGGCTAAAAGACACCAAAAAACTGAAGTAGAAAACTGCACATAAAACAGTAAAAAACTCTTGGAATTCCTTCCCAAACAGCAACCAAATCAGTCCCCATAAACTGTCCAAATTCTGTCCAAAAACAGACCAATATTTCCCATAAATGGAGTGATAAAAAAGCCATCAATTTCATGCACAGGAATCCCAAACAGCAAGCAGAAAGTCACTGTTTCCAGCACAGGGAAACCAACAGCACCAAGGCAAATAAAGGCCACGGAACAGATCAGCCATTTAGAAATCCCAAACGGCACTTTATTACACAAGGAAAGCCACGGTTTCAGCACAGGAAACCAGGAGTCAAGTATTGGTTCCAGCAAATGATATTTCACGGTAAATAGGGAGACCAAGGCAATAAAGAAGGCAGCAAAATCAAAGGGGCAATCAGCAGCAAACCATGGGAGGAAATCAGCAGGAAATCGCAGCAACCCAAGGGTCAAAAGGGAGAGGAAAAGGCAATATAAATTATAGAAAAGAGGATATTAGAATTTGATTTGACCCACCCCCCCCTTTGCCTACATCACCAATCAAGAAGAGAAGAAGAGAAGAGAATGAAGAGAAGAAGAGAAGAGAATGAAGAAGTTCCTCTTCGACCACTGTCGGAGTTTCATCGGACCACCGTCGGAGTTTCATCGGAACACCGCCGGAGCTTCGCCGGACCACCACTTGCCCCCCCCCCCCCCCCCTCTTTGCCTACATCACCAATCAAGAAGAGAAGAGAATGAAGAGAAGAAGAGAAGAGAATGAAGAAGTTCCTCTTCGACCACTGTCGGAGTTTCATCGGACCACCGTCGGAGTTTCATCGGAACACCGCCGGAGCTTCGCCGGACCACCACTTGAAGCCCTCGCCTTCGCCGGACCACCACCTGAGGCCCTCCCCTTCGCCGGACCACCACCTGAGGCCCTCGCCTTTGCCGGACCACCACCTGAGGCCCTCGCCTTCGCCGGACCACCACCTAAGGCCCTCGCCTTCGCCGGATCACCACCTAAGGCCTCAAGTTCTGCCAGACCACTACCTGAAGCTTGAAGTTCTGCCGGTCCATCACCTGACACCCGAACTTATGTCGTACTGTAATCTGATCGTCCTTGGAGACGAGTCAGCCCATTGTAACCAACTCAAGTTCTAGTGGAATCATTTTCAACTGGGCCAAACCCCGTGGTTTTTCCCTTTTTCCAAGGCTTTCCATGTAAAAATCTTGTGTTATATGTGTGTGAATTGGATATCCGTGCAACGCTAAGACGTATTATTCTAACTCTATCACCGCGTAAATTCTAGTTGCAACAAAGCTAACAACGATCTCAATGAGAGAGGGCCATATGGGTTTCAACGATGGGAGATAAGTGGGGCGGGGGGGACGACGTGACAATTGGATGGGCCGCATAACGATTGGTAAGGCTTGCAAGAAGAGGGGCGAACACATAAATTTTAATCTTTAGCGTGGACATAAATGAATTATTTTTAAAATATTTTTAATTTTTTTTAGGATGATTTATTTTTTGTTTTAATTTAATAGTTTAAAGTAAAATAATATTTTGATATTTAAAAAATATCAATTTTTTTAAAATAAATTATTAAATTCTATTAGTTGTATTACATAATAGTGTAAGGAAAAAAACTATGAGGCCTAACCCAGTTGAAAATTTTTACTATGTAGTAGGAGATCCGAGAATTCTTCTTCTTTTTTTGTTGATTTTTTTTTTACATGTTTTTTTAACTTTTTTATTTAAAGCATCATAACTCTTTTCATTTATGTCATGTAATTATTTTCTTTAAAGTTACTTAACTCTCACATTTTAAAGTTATGCAACTCTCATCGTCCCCCTTCAAATATAATTATCTCTTCATGGAAGATGTTTGCGCCACTTCTCTTCTCCAATCTTCTCTTGCCCCTTTTCTCTTCTCAATTTCTTTTCACAAGAGAGTCATTCCGCTATCTTAAATATGTGGTATCCCCTTTCAAGTTTCAATTTCTATCTCTTTAAAGAACGGGTTACTCTTTCCCCCCAATTCTCTTCTTTATTTCTTTTCACAAGAGAGACATTCCACCATCTTGAATAGGTGGTATCTCTCTTTCAAACTCTATTGCCCCTCTATATAGAGAACAAGTTGCTCTTGCTTGATTTTCTTATCAATTTTTTTCCCATAAGAGAGACATTTCATTATCTCGAATAGGCAGTATCCACTTTTAAGCTCCAATGTCTCTCTCTATAAAGAATGAGTTGTATTTGCCCCCTTCTCTTCTCCCTTTCTTCTCATAAATGAAGAATTCCACTATCTTGAATATAATGCATCTCCTTTCAACCTCCACTACCCTCTACGAAGAATGAATTACCCTTACCCCCTATTTTTTATCTATTTCTTCTCCTAAGAGAGACATTCAACTATCTTGAATAGGTGTGGTATCCTCTTTCAAGCTTAAATGTTTCTCTCTATAGAGAACTAGTTGCTTTTACCCCCTTTTCTTTTCCATTTTTTCTCACAAGAAAGACATTCCATTGTCTTAAATATGTGATATCCCCTTTCAAACTCTAATGACCCTCTCTATAAAGAATGAGTTGCTAACGGTCCCCTTCTCTTTTTCATTGTTTCTCATAAAAGAGACATTCCACTTGCTTGAATATGTAGTATCCCTTTTTCAAACTCCAATGCCCCTCTCTATAGAGAACAAGTTTCTCTTAATGCAAACTATGAGTAATACTCTAGATTTTTTTTAAAGATGGCATTTGTTTTTTATCTTGAAAGAGAGATGATTGACTTTATTTTGAGAGATTTTTCATCCAATTTTAAAGCTCCATATTTTCTCCTGATTGGGAGGCCATCATGGCAAAAATTTATTGTAGTGCTAGATATGATTGACTCTATTTTTTCTTTTTCTCTTTTTTTTTTTTGATTGACTCTATTTTTTTTTTTTTTTTTTTTTTTTTTTTTTTTTTTTTGAGGTTTTTGTGTACTTGTTCTTATATATTGAGGCTTTTATTCTTTTAAAGTTGTCGGTTTATCTATACCTTTTGAGATTTTTGTCTTATAAGATTTTTGGATAATCTTATAACTTATGTCTTTTGAGATTTTAGATAGACACTTACCTTTTAAGGTTTTTATCTTCCAAGATGTTTTTGTTTGCTTGTACCTTCAAAGGTTTATGCCATTTGAAAATTTTGCATAACTATAAACCTTATGAAGCTTATGTCTTTTGAAGTTTTGCATATATATGTTTCTTCCGAAGTTTTTGTCTTTAAAGATTTTTTGATAATTCTGAATCTTATAAGGCTTTTACCTTTTGAGTTTTTTTAATGAGTTGAGGTCCTATCAACTATTTGCTCTAATGAAGTCTTTTTAGTGAGGATCATATTTGCTACTAGCATCCCTTTGGGCTACCTCATATGTATGTCTTCTTAAGGTTGTTATTAGACATCTTGTATTCCACTTGCCATCACTACATGATATTTCTAGTAAAGATCAATATTAGCTTCCCATTGAAGGCTATCTCACTAACATGCCATCCACAGAGAGAGAGAGAGAGAGAGAGAGAGAGAGAGAGAGAGAGAGAGAGAGAGATGGTGGTTGAATGGCTTCACGACTCAAGGGGTTCATCGACAACAAGCGAGATCATATCATGGAGAGCGGATAAACTTGGGAGTCGGAGTTTTGTTGCATGTATGTATTAGATCTTTTTTAATAAAAAATACTCATGTTGTTATTATGATATAAAATTAATTTAATTTAAACCATCGGCTTTATAAAATTAATTTTAATTTAGTTATAAATTTATTTTAAATCAATTTTATATAATTGAGATATTAATTTGGATAATATTATGCTCATATAAGAATTATTCAAAAATTATTTTGATCTTCTTTTCTATGCGAGCCATCCATAATTTTTGACCCCACCAATTATTATGGTTAGCTTGTAATTATCTATCTCTTATCTAACTTTCATAGCAGGCAGAGTACCTCACGGATCAGTCATCCCAGACACGACAGCACAGGAGATATGGTTGGCAATGCTGCCGCCGCCGCCGCCGGTGGCCTATCGTCTGGCAACACGCTGCTCAAGATTCTTAACGTCAGAATAGTCGGCAGCGGGGATAAGGTAGTCATCTTATCTCATGGATTCGGGACCGACCAATCAGCTTGGAACCGAATCATCCCGTTCCTGGATCCCGACCACCGCATCATCCTATACGATCTTGCCTGCGCCGGCAGCGTCAATCCCGACCACTTCGATTTCCGACGCTACACCACCCTCGATTCCTACGCCGACGACCTCCTCCTCATCCTGGATTCCCTCCGCATCGACCGCTGTTTTTTCGTCGGCCACTCCGTCTCCGCCATGATCGGAATCCTCGCCTCAATCCGCCGCCCCGAGCTCTTCCTCAAACTCATCCTCATCGGCGTCTCCCCTCGGTAATCCCCAATCGATCATCCTCAACCCAAATTCCTCCAATCATCGATATCGACCATTTTTGCCCTATTTAGGTTTTTGAACGACTGGGATTACCATGGGGGATTCGAGAGGGATGAAATCGAGCGGGTGTTCGAGGCCATGGAATCGAACTACAAGGCGTGGGTGACGGGATTCGCGCCGCTGTCGGTGGGGGCGGACGTGCCGGCCGCAGTGAGAGAGTTTAGCCGGACTTTGTTCAATATGCGGCCGGACATCTCGCTGTTTGTTTCGCGGACGGTTTTCAATAGCGATCTACGAGGCGTGCTTGGGCTGGTGAGCGTTCCGTGCTGCATTGTGCAGACGGCGCGCGATGTTTCCGTGCCGCTTTCCGTCGTCAGCTATCTCAAAGAGAGCTTGGGCGGGAAGACGACGATTGAGATTCTTCAGACGGAGGGGCATCTTCCTCACCTCTCTGCTCCGGCGCTTCTCGCTCCTGTTCTCCGGCGCGTTCTTTCCCGGTGATATCTCCGGCTGCCTGTCTGGTCTGCTAACTTAACTGGATTAAATTTGAGCTTTTTTTTTTTTTTTTGGTAACGGTATTTGTAGAAAAAAAAAAAACCTTAGTGGTATTTAAACCTTATTATGTCATATTTGATTTTTGAAATGTTCAAAGTGTTTTGAAAAGTTTTTATGAGAGAATAATAATATTATTATAAGGAATAATTTGTGAATTTTTTAATGGAGCTATCTTTGTCAATCTTTCTTATTGCTTTTTAAAATAGATTTTAACAAAAAAAAAATTAATTTAATTTTTTTATTAAAAAATTATTTTAAGAGTAACAAAACCATCTCAAACAAACATGCTAATTTGATGGATTTTCAAGATCCAATCACGGGGTTGCTTCATCTTTTGCTATATTATGCCAAATCTTAAGAATATTTATAGATTTTAAAACATATAAAAAAACTAATGCAATTTTATAATTGTTTGTCTTTGTTGATAAAACAAGATAATTTTTTTATCTACTATTGTTTTGTTGGGTCCTTTGATTTATTGAAAAATGAAGGTAGAGTAAACTAAAACATAGTGTATGAGGAGTGCAAGTTATTTGAAATGTTTGTAAAACAAATACATGCGATTTTTTTTATTTAATTTGAAGCAAAATGAATATTGTAAAGCTTGGTTATGCTGGTAGTTGTTGTCAACGGTGGTGATGGACGGCTAGTAGTAGTGGCAGTGGCAGGCAGGCAGCAGATGGTAATGACGTTGACAACTAGTGATAAGAGCACTGCAAAAAATAAGCATGTTTTGAATGTATAAAAAATAAACTATTAAGTGAACTTGGAATAACAATTCAATGGATGGATGTTACCTCCTTCTATCCCTCTCCTGCTGCTTAACGAGATTATGGATTTAAATATTTATGAGCATCCGAAGGTGTCCTGCTTTGGCTCATTTGCACCAACCTTCTCCACATTTTATACCAGCTACTTTGGTCTTTTTGAGGAAGTTCTTTGGCACAAATTTTTCTGGCATAAGAAGAAGTCTCTCCGGTTTTCTTCTTATGCCTGGATGACTATGCTTGGTAAATTAAAAGCTGCTGATCTACTTATTTTGAGAGGGATTGATGCTTACCCGAATTGCTCTTTTTGTAGTGATGGTTGTGACAGTCATTCACACTTATTCTTTACTTGTGACTTCTCATTTTCTGTCATCTCCTCTCTTCTGCCACCTCTGTGATCATTTCTCTTAAGATCGAACTTGATGCAAACTTTTGAATTCTTTAATGATTCTCTGGATTACTGTAGTTGGGAGAAAAATTTATGCTATTTTACTATTTGCAGTTCAATATATTTCTTATGGCGGGAGAGAAATTCAAGAAGATTTGAAATGGTTTGGAAAAGTCCAACTAAGATTATCTCTGTTATCCGCCTAGCTATTCTAGATAAAGTCAAATACTGGAAACATTTTGATGAACTTAAAAGGAGTTTTATTATTCTGTGCTAGTTGGCTGCCTTTTTGGATTTTGATTGACAGTTCTCTTCCTGCTTCTATCTGCAGGATTCCTATATACTACATGATTTTGATGTCTAGGTTGGTTGATTCAACGGGATTGCTGGAATGGCGTATGAATCCCATTATTGTTGCTGCTGCTATCACTCCATTCTTTTTGAGGACCCTGTAATTTTTGTCTCTCTTACAGGTTGCCTGGGGGGATTTTTTGAAAGGACGATGATGAATGCTGTATTACATCTAACCCCTTGGACTGTCTTTTGGCAACCAGGGGTTTTTGTTCTGTCTAGACCCTATCGAGAACTGACCCATACAATTATTTGGCAGAATAGCCTGAGTCCTTTTGGCGCTTAAGCCTTATTGTTTTTTTTTTTTTTTTAATTTCTTACATGTATTTTGTTTTTCTTAGAACTCCTCAGCTCCTTTTTTGAGTTTTGGAGTTATATGTTTGGTTTTACATTACTTGTAATTCTTTTTTATATATGAAAGGGCAATGCCCCAAAATTTCCCCAAAAAAAAAGTGAACTTGGAATTATCCAAAATTTTACTATGTATTTTTTTAATCAAACTATACATCAAAATTCTAAAATACTTGTATTTTGAATATTTGACACTAACTTTTCATTAAATCAAATTCATCTTGTTTGAATGTCATTTGTTCCATACTTTGCCTCTAGGGTGACGAGTGAAACTATGATAGTCTTTATTGTTGTCAACCAACTTAAAATTTATTAATACAAATGGGTCCAAGAAAGAATCTCTACTAACCTTAGTTTCAAGAAGGCCAATTATGTTAATGTTGTTGTCTAAGATAAGTTTCTTTCTATACGTGACACGCTAATTCCCTTTTAACCTCCAAGCAATGATAGGGTGTAAAACATAAGAAAAAATTAGTTTTGTGTGGAGGAAATATGAGTTTGCCTTGCTTTCCTACCTTTTTTGTTAGGAATGTTAAATCTTAGACGTGAGGGGAGTTTTTGATAGTATTGTTCTAACTTCTAAGAGATATACTCAATTACATTAAAAGGAGGTTGGATGACTAAGTTTGTTCCTCAACTATGGGGGAGTAGCTACGTAACATATTTGTCATAATAGCAAGTACTAAAGCGTTATTAGAGGCAGATTAGAGATTGAGGTCTTGGGTGACATTTGGTTGGTAATTAATACTTGGTGCAATAGTTAAGGGACTATTAGTCGACATATCTCCTATGGTATTGTTCTACTGGCACTTATACCCTAAATGGATTGATGAGATGAGTTTGATTAATTTTTTGAGTAACTTTGGATGCCTAATGAAATATAATCTAGGAGAGAGAGGTGATTGTTGAATTTTGGAAATGGACTATGACAAATATTATTTCTTAATTTTTGGATATAAGGGAATCAATGGCAAGAGGAATCCCAATCATGCTAGCAATTTTGGATGTTCTTTTTTCATTCCAAAACCAAAAAGGCACGTTTTGGAATTTAAATCTAATGGAATTGTTGTTGAATTCAACCTTAATTAATTTGAAATTAGGCTTTCATTTTATAGGATGAATGATTGGCCAAATATGAACCATGGACCACCATTGTAAACCATTTCAAATGCCTCAACATATTTGAATTTGAAAAGAAAAATGCTTCGTCCAGAGTGAGAATGTCAAGTAGCTTGGAATAACTTACCTTAGTATGTATGACAACTAACATCTCATTCCACGAGGGATATGCTCCATTTCTTAAAACCTTCGACAACATTAGCTTTAGAGAACGATACATTAATTTTGTTGTTAGGCACATGCGAAAGGAAAAAAGTTAGTCATTTTGTAACTTGTGAGTTGAAGAGTTTCTTCTGATTGAGGAAGGGTGGCTAATTAGTGGAGGATGGGGGCGCACTGTGAGTAGAGGTGGATCAAAGCAGTGGAAGGAAAGATGCAATGTCATAGATGAAGTCCATGATAAAGAAAGGAGAGGGAGGGAAGAGAGAGTAAGGGAGAAGAATCTAGTTGAAGCTAGAGGTCTGACCTGAAGTCCTCAATTTATTCAAAGCAAGAGGTGCAGGAGACGGTGCAAGGAGGGAATACGAAAACCCTACTAAAGCTCATTCATAAAGAGAATTCTGTTGATGATTATTATTTAATCGTTACTTGAATCTTTATGATTTTTCATTGTTAAAATCATCTAATCATCAAGATTTTGAACTTCTTGATGTCATAATAGTAAAATCTTCTAAATAATCAAAACCATATGCCCACGAACATCTTTTTGTTAGAGAATCTTTGTGCCTAATTATATCTATCCAAATGAAAGATTTAATAATAGGGAGATTTACTATTTACATGCATACCATAGACACATTTTTCAATAAAATTTATTTTCTAATTAAAGCAATCAATTGAGCTTAAGACTTAAGAGTGTTTTAAGATAGGTTTAGATAATAATTATTGTGTGATTAGTGATTAATGATGAGTGAATTGTAAGTAGGACTTTTGTGGGACCCACTTGTGGCTAAGATGAGTGAGGCTAGGTACATGGATGCTTTTCTTTATTAAAGTTGGAATCGAATATATTTATATTTCAAGCATAGTGATTGTCTATTAGATTTTTGAGTGCCTCATTGTCACTTTTTAATTAATATTAGAGAGCTTAATTAAAAATATTAATTTATTTAATCATTGTAGCATCAATCTTTGTAAAATATTTTCTGAATTTTTCTAGAAAGATGTGGGGTTTTTATCCTCTCGGCCATTTTCTTTGGCAAAAAATATATCCAAATATATAAATGTTGTAAGGTTATTGGAGATAATTAGTATTTTAATTGATAATTAAGTGGATAAACATGGTGATTAGAGGGTGGTTTTGGCAAAGACAGGATTAGTTGAGTGCTTTAGTTGTTTAGTAGTAGACTTCAACTTTTGAGGATGCTTATCTCTTACTCCTAATAAATATTCCCTTAGCAGATAAAGAAAAATTAACTCTTAATGCTAATTAAAAAATAAGAATCTATTTTTGTTTATTTTATATGTAAAATTATTTTCTTATTTATGGCTCTCTTTATCTTCCAACCTCCTCTAAGAGTAGCATTTTTTGTTATTGTATGTGTGTTGAATTTTTGTAAAAACAAAGACGTGAAAATTATATTTTTATTGTCATGAATTTTTTTGAAATGTTTACGAAAATTAAATTTTATATTGTTTTTCTAATGTATAATTAACTACTTAGCTACACATTAAGAACTATTTAAATTTATTAAATTTTCTTATTTATGGCTCTCTTTATCTTCCAACCTCCTCTAAGAGTAGCATTTTTTGTTATTGTATGTGTGTTGAATTTTTGTAAAAACAAAGACGTGAAAATTATATTTTTATTGTCATGAATTTTTTTGAAATGTTTACGAAAATTAAAATTTATATTGTTTTTCTAATGTATAATTAACTACTTAGCTACACATTAAGAACTATTTAAATTTATTAAAAACATAAAAGATTTCATTAATAAAAATAA